TATAAATACATGTATTTAAATTGTACAACATAAAAAAGAAGAAGAAGAAGAGATCCTATCTATATAGCTTGCCTCTGCAGTTATGGAGTAAAGTGTAGCTTTCCCCCCTAAATTATTATGACGGCTGTGGCGACGGGTCATATTGAGGGGGGACGAACATGAAACTTTAACTTTCCTATGACCCTATGACCCTAAAAGGGTGTTTGGCAACCTCCAAACCATAATTTCAAAAATACTTTTATGCAAAGCAAGACAAACTCCTCCATATATTTACTTTGTAAACCGTAAAAGCACTTTTGAAACCATGGTTTGATTTCTATTCAAACACTCCTAAGTCTAAGAGAATACTCCTTCCGTCTATTTTTATAATAAATAATATTAAAACTCATCACCTAAATTAAAATATTAGTTAAAATTAGTTAAAAACAATAAATGTGTAGAAATTAGAAGTTTTTTTTCTCTAAAATGTCCTTATTTATGAGAGAGGGGGGAGTATAAAAAAGATAATAAGAAAATTATTATAATAAAGAAAATTATGAAAGAGAAATAATGTGTGATGGAGAGATGATAGTTTAGAAAATAAAATAATAAATATATTGCGTGTTAAAATAAGTAATTAATAAGAGTAAAATAGAAAATTTGCTGTAAAAATTTAATACAACTTGCAAATGTTGTTTATATTTAGAAACAAAAAGATGCTAGTTCTTGCTTATAAAATAGAGGAGGGAGAGAGCACCTGCCATCAGGATTTTTCTTTTTTAATTACGGAGACAACCTTGAGCGTGAAAACCACACAGCACAGAAGATGCACTATTAGGGATGAGCTAACAGGAGAGATCTTCCTCATGAAGAAGACACAGGATGAGGGTCATCAAGAATTTTTCAGAGAAGCCTTTACTCGGGTTTTCATTTTTATCGATAGGAATAGGGCTCTTGTAGGAGGCTTCTCCTCTTTAATCCATATTTCGTCTACACCGAGGTGAATTCAATTTAGTTTTACTTTCAGTTTTAAATGTAAGATTTAGTTTATAATATTAAATCTTATATTTAGGATAAGATGCTGTAAAATCCAATGTGTATGCAAGGTTTATTGAATAGCCACATGTCAAGAGTGGAAGTTAAAAGCCTTACTTGGGATCCTACAAGTTTGACTCTCCCTTTTCTTTTCTTTTCTTTTTTTTTTTTTTTTTTTTTGCCAGCAAGAATTTTACTTGTGTTGAATAGAGGTAATCGATCATTAGTGGTGATTAGGGGATGGGAATGATGATTTTGTAAGGTGCATATTTAGCTTGTCAATTCTCATTTATCATGTTGCCTGCTCTTGAGCTTTGAACCCACAACGAAAACACTTACATTTAAGTTTTTCATATTTATTATATCAAATTCTCTAATCATATATAGTCATTTATCTTAATTTTTTTTATGTGGATTTATAGTTTAAACATGAGTAATTAAAAAACCCGACATAGCTCGTCAAAAAAAAAAAACCCGACATAATAAATAATACCTCCAGTTTTTAATATAACAACCAGTTGACTAATCTAAGTAGATTAAGAAAATTAATTATTTGTAATAAATAGACGCTGTTTTTCATAAAATATTTTTACTAATCATGTGTATTTACTAGAATTATTATTTGATGAAACATTTAACATGAGCAACCAATACAAGTATTATCTCAGAAAAAATTGATAAATAAAAAATACAAAGTAGATAAGGTCTTATATTTAGAATCAAATTAAATATTAAACCAGTTCTTATATTAAGAACCAGAGGTAATATAAAAAACTTGACCTAAATATTATCATAAGTAAAATTATTTCACTAAAAAAGAGAGAAGAAAAAAAAAATAATACTACCTCTGGTCCTTAATATAAAATCTCATTTGATTTTCATTTTGGTCCTAAACATAAAACCCAATTCACTTTGTCTCTCATATTTGTATATTTTTTTCCAAGGTAGTCATTCTCATAATAATAGTTGTAACCAATACACTTGATTAGCAATGATATTTTAGGAAAGATAATACTCCTCCGGTCCTTATTATAAGACCCAATTTGACTTTTTATTTGGTCCTAATTATAAGACCCAATCTATTTTCTCTCTTATATTTATGCATTTTTTTCCAAGATAATCCTTCTAATAATGATAGTTTTAGCCAATATACTTAATTAGCAAAGATATTTTAGGAATAACAACACTTATTTATTATAAATAACCAACTTAACTTACTTCCTTAATCTCCTCAAATAAGTCAATTGGGTCTTATAATTAGGACCGGAGGAGTACCTATTTATTACAAATAACTAACTTCACTTATTTCTTTAATCTCTTCAAATTAGTCAACTAGCTCTTATAATTAGGATTAGAAATAATATATATATTTATATGATTCCTGTCATTGTTATTGAGAAATAAAGCCCTTTCCGCTACAGTTGATCAAGAAGGACGGGAGTTGATTCCCTGGGACGCATGTCTGGTTGAAAGGTAATTATCTGATCATTCCATCTATTCAAAAGCTTATGGAGATGATATATGGATATAAGTTAACAGTTAGAAAAAACATATTAAAAAAATACTGCCCAATAACTGTTTTTGGTTATCGATATTAACATCAATAATATTTTCCCCTTGACACACTGCCCCTATCATTCCCCCACTTTCATTCCCACTATAATATGGAGATTTTTCTATTTTCAATTAATATTGATATTGATACTAATGGCACCAATATTTTTTTTTTGGAAAAGCTAATTCTTCAGTTTTTATAATTTTATTTAATTTTTAATTAGTTTCATGTAGTTTTTTGTCTTTTACTTAGGTACTGACAGTTTTCTTAATTATCGGCATTAGTTCCTATATTTATAATTTGTTAATTATGACTGAGATGGGTGATAATTAAATGCTCCTCCGGTCCTAAGTAAAAGACAAAAAACTACATGAAACTAATTAAAAATTAAATAAAATTATAAAAACTGAAGAATTAATAGAGGACATATTTCACTACTCTGATTAAATTAAAAAAATTAGTTATGTTAGATAATAATCATAAATATAGCATATGTTTTTCAAAATACTCTCAGTTAAAACTTTTTTTTTTTTTAAACCTACATTTCAAAAAATGTTTTAAATTATTTCATTAGAAATATAAAACAGTAGAATTGATGTATATGTGGAATTAATGAGTAATAAGTACTCACTCACTTGTGAGTGATAAAATATATAGGTGTATTACTAATGAGTAATAAGTATTATTGTTGTGTTTAATTATTTAATAAGGGTAATTAAGGAAAGAATTGGTAAATATGAAAAATGAGTCCTATATTTAGGATCAAGATCAACCTTCTAATTAGGTCTTATATTAAGGACCAGGGGAGTAACATATAAGGTTCACACAAAATACAAAATAAAAATAAATTTTTTAAATAAAATAAAAAATAAAATTGATTTATTATTAATGTAATAAATTTTATTACATTAGTTTTTTTGTTGATTTTTATTTAGAACCATACGTTAATTTAATTTATGCTAATTAAAACTCAAGTTATCAATTACTTATTTTGTTTCTCTTATAAGATAAAAAACTTATAAAATTATAATGGTTTAATAAAAAGGGGGAAACAAGGGAGACTTTTTTTTTTTTTTTTTTTGGAGTAGGGAAACAAGGGAGGCTTTGGTGAAAAGTTGGAAAATTTATGGGAGAATTATGATGAGGCCTCACAAAAAAAATAATTATTATAAATTCTAATAACAAGTAAGCAGTTGTCACTTTTTATTGTTAATAAGACTTTTTAATAGTTATATTATTCCTCCGGTTCTAAATATAAGACCTATTTTGTAGGGTAATTGACCCTGTAAAATGGGTCTTATATTTAGGATCAGAGAGAGTATTTTTTAGAACTTCATAACAAATTTCCCGAAATTTATTGGCACAAGGGACCTAGTACAACTAATTTTTAGAGGTCCAATTTTTTTTTTGAATCATCTGTAATATACTTTTAATCATGTACAAAAATTTTCAAAATGAAAGACATCTATACGTATTTAAAAATATGTCGCATATAATTGTAGAAGTGGTATACTGTTTAAGTCCTTTTGAACAATAAATTCTGAGTTAAAATATAAATCTATCTCCAAAGTTTTTATTTGAGTGGTATTTAAAAGTTGTTTTTGTGTGTAAATTTGTTTGAAAAGTTTAAAATATAGTAGTATTACTCCAACTATTAAAAAACTAATATTTACCATTAAAATAGTAACATTAGCTATTAATATTTTTAATGGTAAAGGAACATCATTATGTTTTTAAACTTTGAAGGCAAATTTACACAAAAAATACATTTTGGTGCCGAATATTTCTGAATAAAAACTTTGGTGACAAATTTCAACCTAAATTCATAAAATTTTCTGAAAAATATAAGAAAGTTAATATAATTTTTGATCTCTTAAGTTTTTTTTAATTTTAATTTTGGTTGCTCAAATTTTAAACTATAGTTTTTGATTTTGAAATTTCTTTTTATTTAAAATATAAATCAGCATAACTTAATAAAAACTTGGACTTTTTTTAATCTCAGGAACAAAAACATATATTTTGAAATTTTATACTGCTCTAATCCTTAATATAAGACTTACTTATTAAGTTAATTTTGGTTCTAAATATAAGACTTATTTCTCATATTTACTAATTTTTTTAAATTATCTCTATGAATATTCTTTCAATCATAATCAAGTAGAAAAGAAAGATAAGATATTAAGAAAGATGATTATGATGTTTTAGAAAAAATATGTCATATTTTTTATAATTAACTAACTTACCTAACTTCTTTAATCTAATTAAATTAGCTAAATAGATCTTATATTAAGAACTGAAAGAGTATTAAAGATGAGATGAAATTAATACTGCATTTCTTAATAATTTTCTCCATTTTTTTTTTTTGAAAACAGCCTGAAGGCCCGTTCATAACGATGCCATCGGACTGTTCTCTCCGAACTTGATCCGAACTTCAAAAAAAACCGAGGGGAAGGAAAAGCAATGCCCGCACCTGAAGCGCCGGGAAGTAAGAGGTCCCACCGGAGCTCGGAAGAACTGAGAAACTGATTACGAGCACCATTAAGATAAAGACAGTCAATTTAGGGTTTCTTTCAGCTAAAACCCTGCGAGTGATAAAGCTACTGTGATTGACAACGATATCAGAGAAACGGATCAGTGGAATTGCTAGGTCATTCAATTCCCAAATTTCCCGTGAGTTCGCAGCCCCATGTGTGTACCATTAATAGAACTTCTACTTGTTTTCTGACTAATCTGGGCCATTTCTCCTCTATTTGCGAACTCTAATTATGCCATTTCATTGTGTGTACTATCTTGTTCCTGGATGTCGTTCAATTCCTGATTTTGTGTACAATTTTGTTGAATGTGCATTGCCAACCTTGAAAATTGCTGGATGTTGTTGTTTGTATGGCGTATAGAGTACAAAAGCAATGCATGTTTGTTGTATTGCAAAATGAAAGGATAATTGACTTAATGCGTTGTGTCATGATGATTTGAAAGTTGAAACTATGGTCTCACAAACAGGGTAGCAATGGAGGATGAATTAAACCAGTAGAGATAGATGAGCAAAAATGAGTAGGTTGTCTTTCAGGCCTCGGCCCCTTGACATTCACAAGAAGCTCCCTATAGTCAAGTCCATCAAGGACTTTGAAGATGATGAGGCACCTGCTTCCACACGTAATTCACAGTTGCTGCGCCTTGCCCCTGAGGTGGACAGTGAGGTATGAACACTCCACCATCAAGTGTGGCTGTATGCGTGTGTTTCTTACTATGCGTGTGTTTCTTACTTCTCAATGATATTTACTGGAAGGATGGCTTGCGTTTGAAATTTCTGACTATTCTGTCTTTTTAGTGCATACCACTATTATGTTTGTTCGAACTTTTGGCATTTTGAATTGCCTTATCATTGCTCTTCTAGTTACCTTCTACATACTCGGTAAGAGGATGGCTTTCATTCTATAAGTAATTAGAACTTGTGATTTGTTTTGATTTATGTGGATGAGATTTATTTAACCATTTTGGCCTGTGCGATCTATTCTGTTATTTAGAATTACTAAGTTGTTGTTATGTCAGTAGAATATGAAATACACAACTAATATATCTTCTGCTCAAGTCTTGATGGTTAGGATTTCAATTTCAAATAATAAGAAATGGATCACAGATAAACCTGCTCCCTTATGGATAGATGAAAAATAGATATGAAACTAGCGGATAGCTATTTTTTTGTTTGACATATGTATTGTCCTTGTAGAAACAACATATGCATGGTGCTTCTAATCGATAAATTATAATACGCATCATAGTACAGTCAAAAGGCACTTGCCTCAGTGCCTGGGTGAGGTGCCAAGGGGCCTTAAGTGTCGACATCTCTTGCTGTTTGAGGTGAGCAGCCTCCATCCAGGTGTTTGCTTGACTCAGCCTTTGGTTCCTTGGCAGTCCCCTTAGGCACACTCCATGCACTAAGTTTGAATTGCACGGACACAGAGCCCTTGAAGCTCACCTGACAAGTTATGACTGTTTGGTTTAAGCATAATAAAAATGTAAAGCCTAGCCTGATAGATAAATCATATGTGATACCCGGAATAGTTATATGAAATATTACCATTTAGGCTGTTATTTATTCAGAAACAAGATAAGTAGTTTATGTCTGACAACTTATAGCGCAATAATTTATGTGATTATTATGCTCAAACACTTTATTTATATGTCCAAAGTTATCACAATATTCATATCGAACTCTTATAGTGCTAGATGAGTGCCTTATTGCATTGTTTAAAAGCTGCACCCATCTGAGATTGGGGACTTAGTCAGTAACTTGATTGGTCTCATCCAAATACCTACTTGTTGTAGGCTCATCAAGTTCCCAACAGGAGAGTAGCTGCTGAAATACCTACTCCTGAGTTTGTTGTTGTGGATACATATGAACGGGACTATTCTTGTACTTTCAGTCAACCAACTTCATACTTGCGGGCTAGGGGAGGTACTGCCACATGATCACTAGTTATACTTTCCATTGATATTGCAATCATTTTAAAGGATCTTCTGGACATTTTGTCTTTTGTTCTGAAATTCCTTCACATTTTTCCAGCTCGAGCTGAGCTTGGAGAGTTTGTTGAGTATGACTTGGACAACGAAGATGAGGATTGGCTTTCAGAGTTTAACAAAGACCAACAGATTTTGATACCGGAAATGTAACTTTTTAGCCTGAAATGCGGTGTCATTGATTTCAATTTGGTTTTCCATTCTTGGTTGCTGGTGGCTAATTTATCTTGCATCTTTATTTGCTCTTTTCCTTTCATTTATTTTGTTTTGTTGGTGACTTATTTAGCATTGCTAAATTCATATTGCACCATTGAACACAGTTTGGTGGAATTAGTTAACAATCATGTTTGACGCATCGAACAGATATTAAGGAATAGAAGCCATAAAAAGTTATACAAGTCAATTTTTTCTTTTTCCTTATAAAATTGAAGTAACCATTACACTCTGAGCTTCCAATGACGACTTCAGTATTTTGAAAAAAAACCATGCTGGGTGGAATCTTGGATACTACTACATGAAGGAGCTGTATAAGACATTTGATAAATTAGTTGCATTAATTTGTAAATTGCCATAGGAATGTGATTGGTGAGTAACATTGATTGACAGCTTGATACATTACATTACATTAATGTCGTTATAGAATACCACTTCCTTTATCCAAGCTGCTTAGTTGTTTTTGGATGTCTGTTATTGGAAAAATATATAGTAAATATGGCTGGTTGCCTTGGCATAATGTGATAAAGATATGATAAATTTTATAGCACCAGGAAGTAGCTTAGCAATGCAATTTATCTCGTGTTTTTCTTAACCATTTTTAGTCAAACTTATCTCCCTATTTACTACTCATTTTATGTTATCTTTCTTCTATAGGTATTTGCTTCTATCTCTCTTTCTTGTGTCTCTGTTGTTTCTTTGTTGTCTGTGTGCACATGATGTATAATTGTTATCGTTGACTATGAGGAATGTAATATTGACACTACTGTTGAATAGCATCCAAATTAAAATGGTCTAAAGTTTTGCAATATAGAGCAGCTGAGGCTGGATCCTTATTGAGTCAATTTGTGACCACTTTATTTAGGTAATTTAATAGCCAAAACTGAACAAAACTCTTAAGAAAACAGGGGTCTTTTATGCTGAAATTAAATCTCTATCTAACTAAGAAAGCAAAGTAACGAGATAATAAAACTGGCAAACACCGCTATATGTGATAATGATGCAGTTGACCACAAGCTAGTCTCCTAGAGTGTAACTCTCATCATTCCCATTCATATTACAGAACAGCGGCCAAAATTTTCCCTCAAGATTTCCACACAAATTTCCTTGAAATATCATTCAAGAGTGAGGCGCATGTCAAGCTCAATGCCAAATGAAATCTCAATCTAACAGTAAGCTATGAATACGAGCAAATTTCACAGCACAAAATCAGCCAAAAACAGAGAATTCCCATTGGTTCACTCTCCCTAAACTCTCTTAATCAGTTAGGTATTTTTAGCAATTTGATTCACTGAGCATGCGAAATCCCTAGCCTAATCTGGACATAAGAGAGATACAGCTAAAAAGAAAAGAGAAGAAACGGGGAAATTCCAAATCATACCTGGCATTGAACTTTGAAGAATTCCAATTACACTCCAAGTTCATAATATTGTAGTCAATTACAACAAAACTTTAATTACATGTTTATTGTAGATTGGCTCATGTTTGGAAAATTGAAAAAGGAAAGAGGAAGAAGTTTGGTGCGTGAGCTGTGGTAATTTGTAGTTTTTGTCATCTAGTCTTGCAATAACTTGAAACAGGCTGCTCCCTATTGTGCAACTTTGCGCTCTTTTGAAACCTTATGCATGTTTACCCAACCCTGATCTCCTGGGTTAAGGACCTTTTTTTCCCACTATCTACTCATTCCCAAATCCGGTCTCCTGGGTTAAGTCTTCTATTTAGTTTTTGGTCATTTGCCACTATAATATATCCCTGTATTAAAAAAGGGATTATAAATGCATAATTGAATAATGATAACAAAGGACAGACACGATGACGTGAGTACAGCATTAGCAAAATAGACATATATACAAATTAAATATCCTTTTTATACCCTTTCGCTTCCCTATTTTTATACCTTTTCCCTTCCCTGGATGGCATAATCTTTTCTGCTATTTACTTTTTGGTCATTTGGACCTGTTGTTTTCGTATAATAACAATGGTGGCGCAGTAGCATCTTGTGTCCATGTCATAGGGGATTTAACATAGTATTAAGTTGGTTTTTGTATGATGGTATGGGGAGGGAGAGAGAGAGAGACAGAGAGAGAGAGAGGAGTTGTAATGCTTAACATTTCTATCTTGTTTTTCTGGTTTTCATGTAAATTTCATGGTGGATAGGTTTGAGTGTCTTCTATTCAAGTTGGAGGTATTGGATCATAAAGCCCGGGAAAGAGCTGGTGTTATAACACCTCTTGGATCACCAATTTCTGTGCATTTAAGATGGGATGCTGCTATAGAGGTGAACTTGTTATGATCTAGTGGATTTTCATGAATTTTAATACTAATCACTGACGACAATATGCATGCAAGTCTCCATTTTCTTTTGATATAATTTTTTCTATATGTGAGTTTTTAATGACTTATTTTTAATATGTTAGGTTCAATAAGAGATATTTTTCCTCTGGTTTTTGAGCAATTAACTATTAGGTGGTAAAGACGTGCTTTTATGTGAAATGGCCCTTGATACACTGTGAAGAAATTGTTTTTCAACTTAGCTGTCTGGAGACTACAACATTAGTAAAGTTAATTGAATCTGTTTTAAAAAATCTTTTACAGTCAAGAGCAGATTACAACTAATTAGTTACAAATACAACCGTTCTCAAGCACTAGTAGGTTTTCCCATGTGAGTCTGTATTTCAATCTGAGGTAGGACAAATTGAAAATAAACCTTGAATTTAATATTTTTGGGGTCGACTTAATGTGGCCTTCCATAATTTTTGAATATAAACATGTAGGAAAGAATTGAGAAAGATATTGGGATAACCATTTTTATTACAAGTAAAAAAGGCAAATCCCACATGTCAGGAAATGTAAAATAACGAAGGGATTAGAATGAAAGAACTACAAATGGATACGTCAATTGTTTTCATTAAGTCTTTGTGTCTTGGCGTTTTATATTTGATATCATTATACCACAATTCAATTCATGCTTTGCTTGTGATGTGTGTGTGTATTCTGTTGGGCTCATCAAAAGTTCTCTTGTAAATGGTAGGCACTACAAACCCAGCCAATCAAATATGCAGTTATACATTCTGTTTATGATTACTGGAAAGAGAAGGTATGGTGTCAACATCAAAATATAACTTCTAAGGGGCATGCCTCCTCGTCTCTATCAATTTCATTTTCTCAGTGACTTTTAATATTGCTATATTTTATGGGATATGTAAATTATACTGGTTAGGATTTGGCATAAATCAGCCTGCATATTGACTGGACATTGTTTGCTGTTGGGTAAATGGATGCATTCAAGCTGCTCTAGTATGATTTAGTTTTTCTTCCACATGATGACTTAGTGTGCAATGGGTTTTAGAAAATTGAAACTAGTCTTTCTATCATCTATGTTGATATTTTCTTGGATATTATGCTTGTCATTATGGGATTGAATGTTATCTGATCATAGAGTAAGGATACTACGCATGGCATTTGAATCATATAAGAATGTGTTATCTGATTATAAAGTGATGATACTAGGGTGGCATTTGAATCAAGCTGGTTGGCATGCTTGGTGTGCTTGATTTGATGAAGACGTAATTTGAAGTTTGATTATATTTAGTCTTATATGATTCTTGGTGTTGAGCTGAGCTCAACTACTCTGGTGTTTGGCTCAAGAACTTGTGAGCCATCTTGGTTAACTATGTAACTGTTTTATGTAAATTAATAGTTGTACTAGAATCAGTTAAAACTGAAAAACTTGTTGTTTTGAATATGCCAAGGTATTAAATTTGAGTAAAATAATTTTGATGTGGTCTTTTGTTGTTTCAAATTGGGCCAAGTCAAAACCCTAGCTTAAATTTTTAAACTCTGTAAAGCTCCAGCCTTAGATTTCAAGATTAAATTAGCTCAACTTGGATTTGAATGCGATATTCATTATGTCATCTTTCCTCCCATTGAACTGAATTTGGTTCCACCCATAGATTTTATGGAGTGATCGTTTTAGCTTCTAGTCTCCAGATAACCCATCTCTACTGACACTTTTTGTATTCTTTTCCATAATTTTTTTGGGGGCAGCGTGAAAGGTGGCAAAAGCCAATTTTGAGACGTTTGCAGGTTAGTGGTTAGCTATTTATCATTTATTAAGTAGTTACTGCCTTGATATATCAGTGCATGTATGTTTCTTGGATTAAAAATGAACGCACTTGGTTTGTAATATCCCAGTTTGATTGCTATCTTGCATTGAGTGGCAATATTTTGACGTGGGTGTATACATTTTTTCCCCAGCCGTATATTCTCCTTCCACATAACTAAGCACGGCATACAACTTAGAATTGTTACTGTACTCAAATTTGTTGTTTGTTTTTTGCTGATTTATATAGCCATTTTTCATTCATGTTGATTGCTGATTATGTGTCTCAGTTAGCGCTAGCTTTTGTGATTCATGCCACTTTCTCGTCATCTATACTTCCAATTTCGACCTTTTTTTTTTTTCTGTATCTTTTTCCCTCGGCTATTTGTGTCAAATTGGCTTTTGTGCTTCGGTAAGATTTTATCATAGTAGGCTTAGGTAAGATTTTATCAGTTAGAGTTACTTGTCTGCATAAAGTGATGTGTTAAAAGCACGTTATTGAAGAGTAATGATGTGCTGAACTGTATTTCGTGTACAGCCGCCTCCACCTGTTAATGATACCAACCCCTATAATGTCTTTCGACCTAGGGAGAAGGCCCACAGGCTTCACACAAGAAGGGTAAGTGGAAAATGTGGTCTTTGGTTTTCATTCTTATTAAGTTATGGGTAAATATTTTCTCTGCCAATGCATCCATTCATGGATGCTAATATTAATTCTGCTGGACTAACCCCTTTCTGATTTTCTCCGCAGATGCAGAGGAGAGAAAACAATGTACAGTCTTTTGAAAAGCTTCGTCAGGTCAGCTCCTCTAATTGATTTTCTCTTAGGCATCAATTGAAAGCCAGTAAAAATGAGCTCATTTCTTGTTGTTTATATTGTTTTATTGATGCTTTTTCCTCCTGGCAGTAGCTAGTGTCTCTCTTTCCTTGTTTTCTAAAATTTCATTTGGAAAATGTTATAAATGCACCCTTTTACCCATAAAATCTTTTGTGGAAGTCCGATGTTAATGAGTAAAATATGCAAGGTAGTGATCAATTTTATACTTGATGGGGTTGGGCATTGGCTTTCTAAACTTGTGCACTACCTCTTTTTTGTGTATTGTTTCAATAGAAGCTTAAGTGAAAGTGAGGCTTTTGAGAGAAATGGTAGAGGTGTATTCCTTGAGTTTTTGGTTACGGGGGATAACATGTTATGGAAATTCAGTTGACCTGTACTTGTCAGCATGTGGATTTAGATATGCGTACAATTGACTATTATTTCATAATTGTTACTTTCATTGTCATGTGGTCTAGACTAAAAATATTGTTTCCTCAACTTATGAAAATTAAAACAGAATTTTAGCACTTACAAATTCAGACTACCAAAAAAAAAAAAAAATCTCAATACACTTTCCTCACACAAAACTCAGCACATTTTCACTTGATATTAATGTGAGTTAGAGAAGTTGAAATTTTACCTCAACGCATCCAAATCATTTAATATTTCACAGGCATGAGAACTGAGAATCACCTGAAAAGAATGTGGCTTTTTGGTAGGAAAAATGACTAGAGATCAATTTTCCTCTTGCTATCATAGACCAAGATATACCCTGCAGATAGTTGTTAGCATTGTTCAGAACCGAGAATCATTCTTTTGGTTAAAAGATACATGACCGTCATGCGATGCCTTGTAGTGGAGATATATGGGTGATGAGATCTTGCGAGCCAAATCCAATGATCTGTCTGGAAGATGAACCCAATTTTTTTTAAAGGGAATGTGATTGGGAAAACAAATTTTTGAGGAATAGAGGAATGGGCATATTGCTTCACTTTGCTGTTTAGCTCATGGCTTCTTGGCTTGGATCTTTTTCTTCAGTACTAGATTTGGATGTTATTATGTCTTTTCAGTTAAGTATTTTGATTGAATTTGTTTAGTGATATCTGAAGCTCTATAGTTCTTAGAATTAGTTTTTATTTCTTATTTTATAAAAACGTGGATGCTAGTGATTAGTTGTATGAACCATGTGGTTTTCTAGTTATGATGCTCAAATTCATTCTGCCAGCGGTTTATATCCATAGACGGATTATTTCTGGCAAAATATGTAGTTGGAGAGGTTATTAAATTTTTTTGCACTTAAACCAGGTGAGGCATAACCTTGACCAAGCTAAGAGATTGTTGGAGGCTTTGATCAAGGTGACTTTCAAGTTATGTCTTGGGTGTTTTTTCTTTTTTCTATTATTAGCCTTTTATATTCACATTGATTGTGTTTCATATACGATCATAAACAGAGGGAAGAGAAAAAAAGAGAAGTAATGGAGAGTGAAGTTACACTTCAGAGGATGCAAATGAAGTATAAGGTATAAATATGGCTTTGATATCAAGCAGTTCCCTAGAATTTTTTTTCTTTGGGTTTAAACTATATACTTAGCTGATATTTATTTTTTCTGTGGGACCAAAGCATGAAACTGAATTGTTGGAAGATAGCTTGGCATTCCCTGGATATTTGCCATTTTCTTCCAAGTTCGTTTCAAGTGAGGAGGAATTTTTTGATTCTGATGATGTCATGAGGCCTGCTGCTGTGCCAAGTCTTCCTTCCTATGATACCAACCTGCCCGTGGTCCCTGCAGTTAGCACGAGGCAAGAGTTGAAGAGGCGATATGTTCTCCCTGGATGGCCTCATAAATTGGTACTTTGCTAGTCTAAATCCCTTTTTCCATTCTTTTATATCTTAAGATCTTCCAAAGTTGTGTTACCACAATGTGTTTGAGTACGATTGTTGGTGGTTTGTTGTACTGGATTATGCAGGATCCTCTTGAGCCTGTTCTACTGTTCACAAAACCTTTAATTCCAGAAAAGCTGGCTATGGCGGGCATTATACCACCATCAGATTCTTCCACTAAAAATGGCGAGTCGTCACCGCAATATAAATTCCGTGGAAGAATTGGTAGGGGAGGCCGTATAATATTTGATCGATGGAATCCACTCATGCAAACGCCAATTGACTGCGGTAACTCATACTATATGCCACCAAAACCACGACCTTCATGTAATTAATCTGGTTTGTTTGCTGCAGCTGTAATTTTTTTTGTCCACTCCTGCAGATATAATGAAATCCCTGCTGGAAAGGGATTGAGTTTATCATTAGGATGGTATAGGGTAGCTAGGAAAATTGCAGATGAAAAACTTAATTAGGCCTAGAGATTAAAAGAATCATCGTTTGCTGAGGGCAGGAAGTTAGATGTATTATGTAATTTTGTATGTTCAAATGTATTCCTCTGCCATTCTTTCTCGTACGGTGGTTTCCAAGTGTCAATATGTTTTTCTTAGTCAAACAATTTGCTGAAGGTCTAAATGATACCACTGCAGGTAATTCAACGGTTCAAGTGCCTTGATATCCCATATAATGAAGCGTCATTCACACTTGTTGTGATGGTAATAAAGGCAAGTTGGGACAAAAATGTCAGCTTTGGCTATAGTTAAGCATAGATTAGAAGTGTTCACGAAAATTAGTTCAATTGATAGGATTAAGGGCTTGTTTATCATGGGTAAAGTTGACTTTTATTCTAACTTTTGCAATATGAAGCTGGGGTGGAAATCAACTAGTATAGTTTATGTTTAGATAGACTTGTTTACACTCTAGGCTTAGATAGAGATTAGTGCAAAGTTCAAAATAACTTGAAGATATCCTAAATTATACTAAAAAGAAAAAGGTCAGTTTTAGAAAGTTTAAATTTGAAGAAAGGTCAAAAGTCATAAAAAATTACTTCAAAGTGATGTCTGGGCAAGAAAGTAGTTGTTTCCAAAACTATGTTAAATATTAATTTTTTTGGACAAGAAATATGTTTCTTTTTCATTCAACTAGTTCTTTATTCCCCACCTGTCTTCCAACTTCCAAGGCTTCCCAGCGCCATGCCAAAAGTTACTTAATGCGAAGGTATTTCAATATGAACGTATAGTTATTATTATTTACTTGTTTTTACATTTCACACTATCCTATGAATGGCAGTTTAGGTATATTATTACCTTTAGTCCTATTTATAAAATGTCATTTATAATTTATAAAAGTTATTAATCGTTATACGGAAATTGTAAAAATTTTCAAAAAAATTGTTTCTTGCCGTTGGAGTTCTGACGACCAATTATTGACTTTTTCAAAAAATCTATTGTTAATTGTTATACTGAAATTGTTAGTAGCGTTACAAAAGTTGTTAACTATTATATTGAAGTTGTAAAATTTTTTAAAAAAATTATTTCTGACCACCGAAACTTTGATGACCAATTGTCAGCCGGTCACTCGAACTAGTAGAAGACTTTGGTTTTCTAAAAATAATAAATAAAATGAAAAATAATATAATCATTTCAGCAAATTTAGAAATGCCAAATTAGTCACTTGTGACTAAATTGGAATTTCTTAAATTCAAAAGATGTTTTTGGCATTATGAAATTTATTTCAGGTACCAGAACTCTGACGACCTGTCGGCCAGTGGATGCTTTAGTTTTTTTAAAAACAATAAATAAAATAAAAGATAATATGATTATTTCAGTAAATTTATAAATATCAAATTAGTTTCAAATTTAGAAAATATTTTTAGAATTATGAAGTTTATTTACCATTCTTCTGTCATTTTTCTTTTTAGTTTGATTGCAATTGTTCATCTTAGCTTGCCAAGAGTCAAGAAGCGAATCCTTTCGAGCGAAGGGGTATTCGGAATCTTTCAAAAACAATTAAAAATTGAAAAAAAAGTGTAGAAACAAAACTTCTTTTATATTATATATAAATTAAAGTATATCTAGTATTTTAAAATATTTTGTAATATATTTGTGAAGTTTTTTTTTTTGGCCTTAATATTGGATTCATTCTTGTAAACACTTCTTTTCTTAAATTCTAACTAAACATTAATAAAACGCTCATAATAATACGTCAAAAAATGCTCATAATAATATGTTAAACAATTTCATTGCTTTTAGTTAAAAAAAATCATTGCTACTTTCGAGGCCAAAAAGAAAAGAAAACAGTTTTTCCATTGTGTGCAATTGAAAAAATCTCAACTTATGTACGCAAGTGCAACTACGCATACATAACCAGCAAGCTGTTATATATAAATATTCACAACCCACTCTAATTTTCACAAAAATAATACAGCTTATTCCAAGTCCTGGGTAAGGGACTGATGCTTGAATTTATATTATTTAAGGAAAAGGACCCAAATTTAAATGGCAGTGGAAATTTGGTACAGCTCCGCCGTTGAACTTTGTCTTCTCCTTTTCCGGCCACACCGGTTCGGCGTCGGTTCAGACTGGCCGGCCTCCAGAGGAAAGTTCAATATTGCCCTTCGACCCCTCATTCTGAAGGCAGCACAGTCATAAGCCCTCGCAGCATCAATCTCACTCTCAAACGTCCCCAGCCAAACCCGTGTCCCTTTGCGGGTCGGATCACGGATCTCCGCCGCAAACTTGCCCCACGGCCTCCTCCGAACGCCCCTGTACCGCCGAATAATCGCCTCACCGCACACGGACTTCTCATCAGTCTCAGGCGACGTGGGCTTCTTCTCCATTTCGACCTCCGCCAACACGGGGCTCCAAACCTCCACATCTTCAAAGCCAAAACTTTGCACCGGGGCACACGGATTCAGATCAAACTCCGAGGAAGAATCCTCGAGTTTTACAGGATACAGATCGGAGAAGAAGGTTTCTGAGGACGAAAACTCACCAAGAAGATGATGGCGAATCCAGTCCAAATCCGAAAATTCATCTGCCATTATTTCTGTCACAAACTATGAGGTAGTAAGAAAACAAGTGAAGATTTTGAGTTACAGATGAGAGTTCAGGGGGTGGATATAAATGGTGGGATGGATCAGTGGCGTGGGACTCACAAGAATTTATGGATATGGCTGGCATAGTGAATGAACAAGTGGGCATAGCTAGAAAGATGAGATTGAGGAGTCGACCACACGGTCTGAACTCAGAAAACGGACAAATTGGATAGTCACGTAATGATAAAGAAAGGCGCAAACAAACTCAGGAACTCAAGTTGGTCCTTGGAGGTTAGCAGGGGAGCAGCTGGCTGCGTACTTGGAAGCAATGAACGTGGTCAAGTTTTAAGAAAATATAATTAAAATATGGATAAGAGAAAAAAGTCTGAAAATGTCTTGTCTTCTTTTGATGGGATGGGAGGGACCTCTAAAAAGTTAAAACCTGGCTTTTTTTCCTTCTTTCTTTATTATAAAGTCTGCGGATATCTCATCACATGTTGAGATCATGGAAAAATTCAAAACTATACAATAAAAAATTACTACAAAAATATATTATTATTTATTTTTTGAATGTTGTTAATTGTTATTAAAATGTTGTAAATAAAACTGATTTAAAATTTTGAAATTTTAAAAAAATTTTAGATTCTCCCTTTGGACTAACTTAAAAAAAATTATTTCGTAAAAAAGAATATTATTTTATGAGGTCTCAAATACCCCCTAAATAATTAGGGTGGTGTATGAATGTTGTATGATATAATTAGAAATATATTAATTGGTTTCAGAAGTTAAGAAAGTATGCAAGAGTGACACACTCAAAGTTGACGTTTGAAACATTACTAATAATTCTTATGAATTAAGAAAATTAATTTTTGCTTGTGATCATTTCGAGGTTAATATTCATATATATGTCCTCTAAAGTTAATAACTTTATTTCTTTTAAAAATGCTATATATCTTTGCATTAATTACAACAATTTTTTTACCCATTCTTTCTCTCTCTTTTTCTTTTTTGCCAACATTCTTTCTAACATCTTTATAAACAAAGATATATATATGTTTCTTAACTTTAGTTATTTATAACTTATAAAAATGACGAGAGGACGTATAAAGTTAAAAAAAAAAATAATGTGATCATTTATTTATGATATTTTAAAAAATTAATTAAAATTTTTAAATCCTCAATTGTAATATTTGCCTATCGCTTTCCCTGTCTATTCCTTGACCATTGATTGGGTATGTCAAGTTGTGTGTTCTGGACTTCTGGCTTAAAGAAAATGTCAAGTTGTGCGAGAAGCATTTAATGCCATGGGCCTTACCGTTGAAATGATATGAACTATGAAGTCTACACTTGTCAAACAAACTCTGGAGCCGGAGTTTATCAGCCAAATAGCCCATAGATTCACATTCGATCTTTAATACCATTGTTCAAAGTTATACGAAACTTAAAATTCTTTTTAATTATTTTAAAAAAATGAAAATAAATATAGATATAAATTAAAATAAAAAAGTGATATATTCCTCTGGTTCTATAAGTCACTTCTAACATGTTTTACATAGACTAAGAAAAACATTAAATTTCATTAACCCTCATTTAAAATTTAACAACTTTTCAATCTTATCCCTATTTAATATACTCCATTCATTCCTAAAAATAGGACCCATTTTGTAGTGTAATTAATAAAATTTAAAAAAATGAAAAAAAAAATGCATGTTGCCTTGGCCCACTTCTAGGGGGGTTGTAGGCAACCCAAATCCGTCTTTTTTGATGGGTTGTTGGGTTGGGCTTATGGACCCAACTCATATTACTGGCTCTTGATGTAGGGTTGGTTTTTGGAAAATTATACGTTGGGCCTTTCACTTCTTAAATTGTTGTTTGTATTGAGCCCAATAACATAACATCACGTTCACACTTCATGCAACAAAAACAAAAAGCAGCAAAAGCCCGGGGTGGGGGGGACCTAATTTAGAAAAATCACTGAGATGGGGCTCCTCAACTTGCCTCAGTTAGACCAACAGGAGTTAGTCCAAGTGATAAGCGGCTTGGTACCACTTAAGCAAGGTCTCGAGTTCAAGCCTCAGCGTATGCAGAAATCCCTGTTAGGAGACTCACCCACCATAACCAGGTGTGCGACGCGGGTCGGATCCAGATGTAGTTGGGGTCGGATCCAGATGTAGTTGGAGTAAAGTTCCGATGAATTGGGTGGACAATAAAAAAAAAAACTTGCCTCAGTTAGAGTCAACCTATGACCCTCAGTAAAAGAAAATATTTAAAATTCCAAATTTTCACTAACACTTGGGAGCCCCTTGCGATTACTTTATAGAAGACATCACTAATTTTTGTTTGTTCTTTAGTTTTATTTCTTTTCAATCTATTAGCTTCTTTTTTTTTTTTTTGTATTTTTAATTATGCCTTTTGTCTTTTTAGTATCATATTGCTTGCCCACTTATTTGCTTAATGTAATTTTGCCTTTACTTTTAAAAAAAGGAAAATATTTAAAATGGCAACATGCATTGGTGATAAAATGTAATTGAATTTTATGATAAATGTTTCTCACATAAATAAAGGATGATATGCTATATAAATGGTTCATCTAAATAAGATTTTTTATATTAAAAAATCTGCTTAATTTTTAATTGAATTTTAATAATATTTTTATCTTAATTAAACAATGGCATGTAAAATAATACCAATTTTTGTATGGGTGTTTATGGGACAGGACGGCATAGGTTTGACCCTATCCTAGTCCCGTCTTGATACTTGGGACGGTTTTTTTCATTCCATCCAGTCCCAATAGTGTCCCGTCCCAACTTCTTTTTTTTTAAAATAATTTTTTAACTCTTTTAATTTGAAAACTAACTGTACATAAAATATAAGAACTCATCATAAAAACTATGTAAGAAAAATAGATAAAAATCAGGGAAAAAGTTGGCAATAATTAAAAATTGGCAAAAAAAAAGGAAATGTGTTTTGTAATATTGAGAAACAAAAAATAAACAAACTTAAAATGTTCATTAAAAAGAACATCAAGGAACCCACATAGAACAACTTGTAAACAAATAATTAAAATAACAATTGATAAGTATTATTACCATAATACTATTAAAATGATAGATATAAGAACTCATCATAAAAACTATGTAAGGAAATAAATAAAAATTAGGGAAAAAGTTGGCAATAATTTAAAATCGGCAAAAAAGAAAATGTGTTTTGTAATATTGAGAAACAAAAAAAAAAAACAAACTTAAAATGTTCATTAAAAAGAACATCATGAAACCCACATAGAACAACTCGTAAACAAATAATTAAAATAACAATTGATAAATATTATTACCATAATACTATTAAAGTGATAAATCAAATAAATTTATAAAAATTAAAAATTTTGATAAAATGTTGGGACAGGATAACTCTGTCCCATATTTAGTCCTGTCTCAAAACAATTTCATCCTGTCTCGCTTTTGTTTGGTCTAAAAAATTTTCAAGACGAGACTGTTCCATCCTGAAATGACTAAAACAGGAACAGAATGCTAGGATGGGATATAGTTGAACACCTCTAATTTTTTATTTAAATAGAAATTAATTTTTATAACCATTAACTTATTAAAAAAATATTATTTTATAAAAGTAAAAATAATATGATCTAAATTGCCCAAGTCTTTCATCTAAACATCTCAAAAGACAAAAGCACACGCCTAAACTCTGGGGGTGTTTAAATTAGTTTTTTAAAAGTAATTTTACGATACTTAATATGAGCATGTGAAAAAAATTTTATCTCAACTTATATCGAAACTTTTTTTTTTTTAGAGTGCTTGTAGAGTATTCCAAAATCTTTTGTTACATTACCACTTTATCTTAAAACCTGACTGTCCAATGCATTTTTTTTTGGGGTATACTATTCAATGCATTTTTCTGCGTTACACATGTAAAGCAACTCATTAAACGGTGTGATAAATAAATTCTATGCATTAAATAGACATTTATTGGGATTAACTGCATGTTTCAATAATGCAGACAATCTCTTCATTGCGTTGCAAAATGCAGCATTATTTAAACACATAAGTGTAACAGGTTTAGTACTAAAATAAAAGGCAAAGCTGTTATCTCCAGTCTATAATATTAATAGCTAGCTAGATGTTGAGTTTGGTCAAATTCATTTTGTTCTATACTTATTATCTTTCAAATTCATTTTGTTCTATACTTATTATCTTTCTCCAAACTACTAATATTGATTATATATGTTAACGGAGTTTGCATCAAGAATAATTTCAATGGAAATAATTTAACAGGGTATTTTAGAAAATCGACACATATTTTTGAAAGAAAATAATTTAACTAATTTTTTTAATCAACTCAAATTAGATATATTCAAAATTCACTTTAACATAGTAGCATATGTGTTGTTAGAGATGGTGTAATAGCGGATAGATCTGCAAGTGGCTGATTTTCTGTGCTTGTATTGTGAGGCTTTTAGGCAATCCAGTTTTGATAAATCATGCATTTTCTTCTCCACGACACCATTCCAACATTTGGAGAAGTTTTATTTTTGTATTTTAGGAATACTATACTGACAATCCTTGTGAGTATTTGAGGTTACCTAATTTATGGGGAACGTCAAAGTCAGTGGATTTAATTAGCTTTTGTAAGAGATAAGGTTTATAAGAAAATTGAGGGTTCGAAACAGTTTTTACTTGCTGAAATGCCCCAAGAAGACTTTAGAAGAATTACCAATTACCTAGTACAGGTCCGAACAATTCAAATGGGGTGAAAGAGAGGGGAAAAAAAAGGAAAAATCCTAAAAAAATAACTATTGAATTTCAAATTTTCAAATTAATATTGATTACTACATTCATAAAAAAAATAACTACACTCGAAAAGCAAATGACAACACATTTTTGTAATAATTCCTGATTTAGAATTATGAAATTCAATAGTTATTTTTTTGAGACTTTCCCAAAAAAGATAGCAGGACACGGTACAAGGCCTGGACTATGATAACACTATGAGATGCTGATGACAGTTAGGCTCTAAATTCAATTCGAAATGAACTTGCTGATTTAGAAATGGAGGCAACTATATGGAAAATTCCTCTTCCGGTACTTGTGAACAGAGAAAATACATTTAAACAAGGCTATTAAGTAGCAAGAGGAGAGTACTTAACCACACAAGTTATCATTTGAAATTGGTACAGTTGGTAAGGAGCCGGTATATAATCCACAAGGTCATGAGTTTGAATCTCACTGCTAATGTCACAATGCTTTGAACCTGAAGGCATACCCAAGTCCTGATGAATCCTCAGGATTCATCCTCAGGATTCAACTCACCTAAACTTTTTTTTTGTAGGAAAAAAAAAATTATAAGCTGAGGCCTAGTTCTTCTATGCAGATCCCAAAGGAAGCATGGAAAGCAGTTTCTAGCTTCACATTATTGGGAGTGACACCTGCTTCAGAAGCATCATATTTCAAAGTCTTCTTTGTACAGTTTGTAAAACTGAGATTGAGACAATTGAGCGTTATGTTTCAATGGTGGGGTTTGGTTGCCCTTCTCCAATCTTGATAGGTAGCTAGGAACAATAATCATGTTTGAGCAGTTGGTTTATGAGGACAGAAAACTTGATGAATTGGTGAATCCCAAGGTACATCAGTTAATCTTGGTACCGTCATTGACTCTTTCAGCGGGTGGAATGAGACGTTGGAGATTTTTAGAATGCCATGCAAAATGACAAAACGCAAGTACAAGAGATGCCGGTGTTGATTTGCTACACAAACACGCAGCGATGTTAAAAACTTGTTGGGAGAGTTTTGCTGCTATTGTGGTCATACCTAACTTGATCCAAATTAGTCAAAATCCAATGTAATTTTTAGATGCTGGTGGTTCAATACTGAGTATATAGTTATATGGTTAAAGATTTAGCAGTTGAAATGAATGATGAGGTGTTGTAAAATGCAATGGTGATTGGCATGCTAAGGGAAGGACATTTAGTTTTCGATACTTGTCAGTTGAATGGCCAGGGAATTGTATTTCTTTGGATTCACGGCAGCCTAGTGGTGCTGCTGATATTTCTGCATCTATATGGCATTAAACTAGGTGGGTGCATGTGGGCTGTGGCTGATCTAAAACCTTACATTAGGAGGGGGCAAAAGAGCAAAACATTAGAATCTAGACTTCGTGGGGTCAAAATATTAAAATTATTGAGGTAAAAAATGTAAACTTTATAAGCCTTATATGCCGTTTTAGCCACCCACTAGCATGTATGCAAGTCTGGCACCCATGACCAGCATCTCTTCTTTTTATTATTATTATTATTTACTCTGTTGGAATCTGTAAATTGCCTTTAGTACTCATGGAAGATAGGCATCGACTGCTTGAAATTATGAATTAAATTAAATTTGTAAGGGTTAAAGTACATATTTGTTCAGAAATTTTTTCTTTAAAAGTACGAGGCATTCGATGTAAATTTGTTCTGAAAGTTTAAAATATTATCCTTACTATTCAAAATACTAATGAGTAATGTTACTTTTTTAACAATTGATGTTAGTTTTTTAATGATACGGGAAATATTATTATGTTTGTACCTAAAATTTTTTTCGAATACCCGAGTAAATTTTCACAGCAAATTTGTAATAGATAGCTTTCATGACCATAAGACCGTTGGTTTTAGAAGATGCTCAACGTTCACCAGAAAAGCTGCTCAACGTGCGTTTTGACATACAAAACAATGTTATATGGTAATTTTTGGTCAGGCTATGAGACTAGGAAAATGAGAGAAGACGAGCGAGAAACTAAATCAATCCCTGTTGGAGAGTTTCGAGAAGATGAAAATTAAATTTGAAAGCACTTGAAGTCTCGTTCATCCCATGACTGGAAAAAAATATTGAAGTTTGATAGAGTCAAAATCTAAAAACGTGGAGGACCAGCGGCAAACAGTCTATTCAGCAGCAAAAGCAATTGTTGAAGATTCAAATTCAACATTGGAAGCACACGAAATCGGGAAAAAGAAAGTAGAGATTGATAAAAATCTCAAACCTTTGAACCAATCACTGCGTTCAAGTCGAAGTCTCGCTCTTACCTTTCAATTCCATCTTCTCCTTCTTCCCCCAGTGCCCACTTTCTTTAAACTTTTCAGGCTGAAACAATATCAGATTCGGTGTATTTCACAATCGGTTTGGGTCCATTACAAAATGGGACTCCGATCAATCCGAATTTTAACGCTCTCCGTCATCTTCCTCGCCGTCATGGCAGCCGCCGCCGCCATCTCTCCTGGCGCTACTCTCTTAGCTTCCAACACCAATCAAAGATGGTCTTCTCCGAACAACACATTCTCCCTTTATTTCATTCCTTCCAACCCCCAAACTTCTCCTCCTACCTTCATCGCTGCCATCGTGTACTCCGGCGGCACTCCCGTCATCTGGTCCGCCGGTAATGGCTTGGCTGTGGACTCTGGCGGCTCCTTCCGGTTCCTTTCTACCGGAACCCTTCACCTCGTAAACGGGTCAGGGTCAATCGTTTGGGACTCCAGAACTTCAGATATGGGTGTCTCCTCCGCCACCCTACAAGCCGACGGCAACCTGGTGCTCTCAAATGGAACTGGCACCGTCTGGTCAACGTTCGACCATCCGACTGATACAATTGTTCCGTCTCAGAACTTCACTTCTGGTATGGTTTTGCGATCTGGATTGTACTCGTTTAATCTTATTCCAAGTGGAAATTTGACCCTTAAATGGAATGATAGTATAGAATACTGGAATCAGGGTTTGAATTCATCTGTGAATGTGAAGTTAAATTCACCGGTTTTGAGGTTGCAATCAATAGGGCTTTTGCAGCTCTATGATTCTAATCTTTCAACTCCAGCGGTTATTGCTTATAGCAGTGACTACGCTGAAGGTAGTGATGTGTTGAGAACTTTGAAGATAGATAGTGATGGGAACTTGAGGATTTACAGTTCTGCAAGAGGTAGTGGAACTGCAACTCCAAGATGGTCTGCTGTAGATCAATGTAAGGTTTTTGGTTACTGTGGGAGCTATGGTATTTGCAGTTACAATGATTCAGACCCTATCTGTGGTTGCCCGTCTCAGAATTTTGAGATGATTGATCCCAGTAACAGCCGAAAAGGATGCAGAAGGAAGGTGAATCTTGATGATTGTCCTGGAAGTGCAACTATGTTGCAATTGGAACATGCTCAGTTCTTGACTTATCCGCCTGAGCTGAGTACACAAGTCTTCTTCATTGGTATATCAGCTTGTAGAGGTAATTGTCTGGCGGGTTCCTGCTTTGCTTCTACTTCATTATCAGATGGCACAGGTCAGTGTTACATAAAAACATCGGATTTTATCAGTGGGTATCAAAGTCCTGCACTGCCTAGCACTTCATATGTCAAGGTTTGTGGACCAGTGGCTCCAAATCCTCCAGCTTCCTTGGATGGAACTGAGAAGAAGCATCGTGGAAGGTTACCAGCTTGGGTTGTCGCTATAGTGGTTTTGGGTACCCTTTTAGCTTTGATTGCCTTTGAAGGTGGCTTGTGGTTCTGGTGTTGTAGGAACAGAACAATATTAGGTGGGTTGTCTGCACAATATGCTCTTCTTGAGTATGCTTCTGGTGCACCAGTCCAGTTCTCATACAAGGATCTGCAGCGGGCAACAAAAGGGTTTAAAGAGAAGCTTGGGGCTGGGGGTTTTGGTGCTGTGTACAGGGGAGTCCTTGCTAATAAATCTGTTGTTGCAGTTAAGCAACTTGAGGGCATTGAGCAAGGTGAGAAACAATTTAGGATGGAAGTAGCTACTATAAGCAGCACTCATCATCTCAATTTGGTGAGGCTGATTGGTTTCTGCTCGGAGGGGCGCCACAGGCTTTTAGTGTATGAGTTCATGAAAAATGGTTCGCTTGATAATCTTCTGTTTCTGACCGAAGAACAGTCAGGAAAATTGTTGAATTGGGAGTATCGCTTCAACATTGCCCTAGGCACTGCAAGGGGCATCACATATCTTCACGAGGAATGTCGAGACTGCATTGTCCATTGTGATATAAAACCTGAAAACATTCTGTTGAACGAGAATTACATTGCGAAAGTCTCGGATTTCGGCCTTGCCAAGCTTGTAAATCCAAAAGACCACAGGCACCGAACCCTGACCAGTGTGAGAGGAACACGAGGGTATTTAGCTCCTGAATGGCTAGCTAATCTTCCCATAACTTCCAAATCTGATGTTTACAGTTATGGTATGGTTTTGCTGGAGATTGTGAGTGGAAGGAGGAACTTTGAAATGCTCGATGACAGAAACAGGAAGAAGTTCTCCAACTGGGCTTATGAAGAGTTTGAGAAAGGCAACATCATGGGAATAGTTGACAGAAGACTGAATGACCAAGTTGATATGGAGCAAGTACAAAGGGCAATTCAAGTAAGCTTCTGGTGCATCCAGGAGCATCCATCTCAGAGGCCAACAATGGGTCGAGTTGTGCAAATGCTCGAAGGGATAACTGAGATTGAGAAGCCGCCCGCACCGAAAGCCTTCATAGAAGGATCTGGTGGTGGAACAAGCACTTACTTGAGCAGCAATACTAGTGCGTTCTCCACAGTTGCTGCCTCAGCCCCTGGTACTACCTCATCCTCATTCCAGAACAGTGGTGCTTCAAGTTTGACTCCAGGAAGGAAAATTGAGAAGGCAACTTCCTCTCTTCTACAACCAGACCAATTGTAAACAAAAAAAAAATGTCCACTTGATTATTTGATGCTGGAACAGCAAAAATAAGCCTCTCAAGATAGTAAATTGTCATCTTCGTTATTTTACCTTTCTCATCATGGTGTACGTATATGAGATAGGAATGTGCAAATTACACTATAAAGTAAATATCTTTATTGAGTTTCAGAACTTTTGCTTGATGTGATCATAGAGAAATTTTATTGCTGGAGTACTGCAAATGGTTGCAGTTTTTCAAACAATATACGCAAACCAGCTTTTTACTGCAGAAATTGAGAGATTCTCCACTGCATATTGTGATCTGTTATTATTTTGTGAAATATATGCAGTTCATCGCGGAGGACCATCGATGGAAACCGGCTTTTCATCTTTCTACAATTATCAATCTGTAAAACATTCTCAAAGTTGTTACTGTTTAAACAACTACGATCTATCCTTTTGCCTTTGGGTATGGATAAAATCTAGTTGGGGAAACTCCAGTATTTACTTTCTATGCTATGAGAAATGCCACTATGATTGCTGTCTCATTCGTATAGAGGCCCTTTCAATTAATGAAAATTAATATGCAATTTCAGTAATACCGAAATCAAAGTGAACATTTACTTTTACTGCATATTAATAATTGAATCAGATTTAGAGGGGTTTTGGTCAACCTTAGAAGCACTTTTAAAAAGTATTATCACGCAAGTCAAATAAAACTCTTCTCACATATTTATTTTGTATATTATAAAATCAATTTTAAAGTTATGGTTTGGTTTCCTCTCACACCTTGTTACAAAAAAGAAAAATTGTCAGTGTTCAATTTACATTTTCACGAATTGAAATGAATCATTGACTGACATTGTATTTGGATGGGGTTTTTGGTAGAGGGAGGTGGAGTAAGAAAGAGTCTAAAATCTGATTGCTTCTAAATTTCTAGAAATGTGGGTAACCAAACAAGACGCAACCATTGACGCAAAGCACGTCAAATAAGTTGCCTGAAAAATAACATAAAAAAATAGGGAATGACCGTTTCAGAGTCAAAAAGTCAAACAACAAATGATATAGTGGTAATTCCAAACGAGTGACCTCCAGCTGTGGTGAAAACGACAAACAGATTTGCATCTTTACATTGAATTGAAGGCTTTCCCCCCCCCCCCCCCAAAACAACTTTGCTGGATTGCTTAATTGTGTTCTAAATTAATCTCTTGTACTAAAATTTTTGCCAAGAGTGTACATTTACTCTTGTTGTACACCGTTAATTTCAAATGATGTTTTTTTGTGTGTTAATTATTGTTATTTCTTAAAATTAACTTTGGATGACACTTCATCAACATTTAAAATTTTAATATCAGCATCTTAGCGTTAAGATTGGAAGAAAAAAAACATTTTATAAAATTAATAGCTCAAAATGAAATCTTATCTGACCTTAAATAATTAAATGTGTACTTTTATCAAAATTTTATCTCATTTTCCCTGTATTTCCGTTATAATTGTTAAAATATCTAATTGTAAAAGCACTATGCTTCCACTATTTTTTTTTTTTATCTAATCGTTCAGCCATTATAATTTACCCCAGTTTTCATATTAGTCCCTATACGTTTTATTTTTGTAATAAACTCCTTATAAAATATTTCGGTTGGAGGGTCAGTCCCTAATTTCTAATTCTCTTAATGATCGGTCCCTATATTTATCACAATAAGCTAATAGAGTTAACAGAAACAAGATAAGGCGAAAAATTCACAAGAATCGAAGAGAAGCCCATAGAAGCAATAAAAACAAAGTCCAAATAAGAAGATGGAGAAATAGATCTCCAATCTCTTCTCTCTCTGTTTTTTTTTCCCATTTAGAGAGACAAATGCTATAAATGAGATCAAACTGTGATCTTTTGGAAAATTTTCGTGCCATTACATTATTAGTTTACAACATCATCATTGACTCCAATCTCAAGCTTTGCCAGTGAGGAGTGGCTGCAACATGAGATCCTATTTCAGTCTCCTTTGTCGGCTGGCCATAATCATCTATTGCTCAGCCTTAAGCCACTCATTTAGGAAGTAATAATCAATTAATGCAGCACAAATTGTTTGTTTCTCCTTTTGAAGCAACAAGTGATCCAAATTCTCAATGCATGCATTGAATCTACAAGCAAAATTGAACCATCTTATATCATATGAACTCGAATACCAATACCAAATACAAACACATACGCATGATACGACTGTTTAAATATCGCATTACAAACTAGATCTTATATTTAGAACTGCGGAAAGGAAGTATCACATATTACAATCTCAAGACTAGATTTTGGCTTTACCATCCACCTCAAGAATATGTGCATGACACTTGAATATACAACAATAGAAAATAACAGTAATCAATTGATGTACGGACCTTTTGAATTGCAATTCATTCATCCAAAGACACGCATGAGGAATCCAAGGAGAAGCACTAAATTGCCTGTTTCGTTCTTGGACGAGGAGTGCAAAAATCCAAACTTAATGCTGCCTACCTTCAACACATAATATCAACACAGAAACTGAGATTTCAGTGAGTTGGTGCCATAATTAAAAGAAAAATAGGGCCACTTACTTTCTCTAGATGTTTAATTATACTATAAATTCCATTATATCCCTCAAATGCACTGCTGTAACAAGGTTAAAAATTACCCATCATCTCATTTTTCTAATAAAATTCCAACTTTCTCTACCGTAGATAGAGATGAAACCTCAACTAGGAGAAAAAGAATTGAGAAAGGCGTTGATCCAAAAAAGCCTCCTATATCTATGGTGTCTTATTAAAACCACGAGAAGCTATTTGGTTATAAAATCCAAAATCATAGACAGTTCAGCTCCGCCATTTTTATCAAAATACTACACACAGTAAAATAAATTACCATGATACTATAATACTCCTCCGGTCCTTATTATAAGACCCAATTTGACTTTTTATTTGGTCCTAATTATAAGACCCAATCCATTTTCTCTCTTATATTTATGCATTTTTTTTCAAGATAATCCTTCTAATAATAATAGTTTTAGCCAATATACTTAATTAGCAAGGATATTTTAGGAATAACAATATTTATTTATTATAAATAACCAACTTAACTTACTTCCTTAATCTCCTCAAATAAGTCAATTGGGTCTTATAATTAGGACCGGAGGAGTATAAAAACTATTTCCCTAAATGCTATAGCTAAACTCATTCACCATGAGAACCGAGTTTGAATTTCAAAGAAGTTGTTCAAGAGGAAAACGAGTTTCATGTTTGACAATTTTTTTTAACAAAATTGAAAACTCGTTCAAGGCCTGTCAGAACACATACTGCCACTGTCACCACTGCCTCTTGTTTTCGCCTTTCATTTCAGCAAAATTTAGGAACAAATACCCATTCCATCGACACCTTCTTCCTTTTTCTTTAGACTTCAGAGAGAATTGCAATTAATGACCCCACTCCTTCCCAACCCCTCTTACATTTTTTTTTCCTTTCCCCTTCATTCTATATCTCCAACAAACTGAAACAATACTATTGGATTTTATATTTTACAAGATATAAAAAAATATGAATGAATTTTACTTTATATCCTAATAATTAGATTTTAAAATATATAAAATAAATTTATTGAATATAAATTATTTATCAATATGATATGATATATGCAAAATTTACATCTATTTAATATAGCCAAGGGACGGATCCAAGGTCAGAGAAGGGAATGAGTGGTGTTAAAACTTATTAAAATTAAACACTAAAATATTTATGTGCAACCGCCTTATAGCATTCCTGTATATAAATTTTTTTTTACAGAAAGCATGTACATTTATGGAACAATTTATGAAAAATAACAGAATATGCACGTGTTTGGTTTAAAATTTGCAAGTTTAAATTTAACCAAACATAAGTTTATTGAAATATAATTTATATTGAATTTTTTAAAAAAAAATTCAGTTTAATTTAGCATATTGCAACTTGTTTAGATATATGATAAATCAAAATAGATCACTTTTAGATGTGTAACTAGGATCTTATCCCTGTGCGTTGCACGGATGGTTGCTATGCGTGTAATTTTTTTACGGGTTATGTAATTGTGCTTGTTTTAGTTGTAAGTTATATAAGAGGTGAGGATAGTTATCCGGTTACCTGAAGTGCATAAATGTCAGTTAATCCTAGAGTCAAAGAGTTCTAAATGTAACGTTTTGTGGTAGTTGTCATATTGATAATATGAAGTTGAAAAGCGGTTCACGAATTGGATGATGTGGTCACTCCGAATGCACATTTTGGAAGACCTCCCAATATAGCACATTGCAAGTAACGTTGGTGGAAGACCTCCCAATAGGATCTTCTGCCTGTGCAACTATTGTTTATGGAGGCTCTTTGTTAAGTATGCATTATTCTATTTGATTAATTCAAGATTAATAGAGGAGGTGAAGTGGGAAGGACTGTCGTGTGAGCTGCTTAAATGTAAATAATTCTCATTTTATTACAATGCCTTACATGACAGTACTGTGTAATTTTAACGAAGGAAGTTCTCATAGTAATAGTGTGATAATCAGCCCATGATTGTGAGAATGAGGTCATTCTGAATGCTCATTCTAGAAGACCCCCCTGTAGACCACATTTCAAGTAACATTTGTGGGTTTACTGTCAGAATTAAGGACCAATATTTTGAGACCGTCCATATTCTTGACCCTTGACAATGCAACATGCAGCTGCCCATGTGTGAACACCGACCTGGATAGGTACAAATCAACCTTGGTTAATGATTGGCCCTGGCTCTTGTTGATGGTCATTGCAAAAGAGATGATGAATGGGAACTGTCGTTTCACCATTTTGAACAGGAGGGTGGTCTCTAACAGATTCATGTCCATGCGGTGAATGAGCACCTGGTCACCTGTGCTCCTTCCATTTAATGTGATCGGCCTGATGAAGTTCTTGCCCGTATATGTGATACGCAGCCTTGTTTCATTGCACAAGCTTGCAGACTGGTCGATATTTCGCAACAACATGACTGGTATTCCCACCTTTAAAGAGGGCTTGTGGGGTGGCATCCTGGAACAGTTTATGGTGTTGACGAATTCCGTGGAGTATAAATCCTGGAATGAGCTATTGTCCTAATTGGTGCTGGAGATGAAGTCAAAGCTGAGATACTGAATAGAGTTTCCAGGGAGGAGTGATAGTATGTAACTGTTTATCTGGTTGACGACCCCATTTGTGGGGGCTAAAATCTCCCTTTTTGTGAGGTAGTTTGGATGTGTGATGTTCTAGGGGAGTGCGAGATATGTAGATAAGGTTGAGGGTGTCAGTGATGAGGAAATCTCTTGGGATCTCAATGTCCGTCGTGCCGTCGTGTGGTAGTCAAATTGTACCGTTGTCAATGTCAAGCAACCATCTGGAGAATTCATTGATCTTTTCTTGTTTATTGCCTCTGATGTTTACTGTAGGTGCATGTTTTTAGTAAGCTTAAACAGCTTGCACTCCGACTAAATAGAGCATGAGTTTATAGCCGCGTTTATAATGTTTGGACAGAATCCCTTTGATATGACAGGCAATATCTGCTTGAAATTGCCCCCCATGATGACACACTTCCTGGCATCTTATTATATCCTTCAATGTTCGAACAACAGCTTTCACACAGTGTTGTTTTATCATTGGCGCCTCGTCCCATATGATTAATTTTGCGAACTGCAACAAATGAGACATAGGGGATCCATGGCTAATGTTACATGTGGAGTCTTTGTTTATATCTATAGGGATCATGAATCTCGAATGAGCAGTCCTTCTTGAGGATAGTAGAGTCGCTGTTATTCCCTTTGATGTGATGTTGATGACCATGTTGCCATTTGCTCATACAGCAGCGGTCGAGGCATTCTATTGGAAGGTCTTGCCAATGCCCCCCTAACCATGGACGAAATAGAACCCACTGGTTGTCCCGTTGACCACATTGAGGACTTTGTGGAATATCTTTCTCTGCTCATCTGTGAGTGATGCTGCTAATCTTATGATGTCTGCGGCACAAGCATCCCTGTCATAGCTAAGTTCCTAGAATAGCAAGTTGTTTGTAGTGTCCAAGAATTCGGTGGAATTTGGTTTTGGCAGCGATGGGTAGTCTTCCAGCGACCTGCCATTCTTTAGGAGCTGTCTCTGAATCTCAATCAGTCCAGCCTCCTCCTTATCGGAGTCGGTGATTGATATTTCTGCAGATTGAAAGAATTGAAAGATGTCATAGCTAGGCACATCTAACAACAATAGATGCCGCTAGTGGGTGATGGGCATGCATCATACATCTAGAATATTGTGTGAGTACAACATAGTTCAGGCAGTGTCTGCTTGTAAAAGAGGGAATATTATATATTAACAAGGCCTCACACGCCTTCACCGCGGAAACCTCGGCAATGAATGATTATGATGGGTGTTTGGATGAAACCAAACTATAGTTTAGAGAATAGCTTCTGGAGAATAAATTTTGAGAAGAATAGATTTTTTGAAAAAGTGATTCTGATAAAGTGAGAGTGTTTGGATAGTTGTTATCAGAAGGACTTTTTATATGTGCAAATTATTAAAAAGGGTATAAGTTAATATGATAATTATATAAAAGATAGATTTTATAATATCTTTTAATTTGAAGAAATAAAATTGTTAATAAAATAATTTTTATTAACATAATTTATAATATATAAGATAATATAATTAATAATTAATTAATATGTGTATATATATTTATAAATTATAAGATTAAATATGTTTATAGAAAAATAATTTTTTTCTAACAGAAAAATATTAATTTGTTTTAAAGATTTTAAACATGAAATTCTATAACATTTTTTCATAACTAGTTTTTATAACAACATACTACCTCTCATCTTTAATATAATTAATTAATTGTTACTATGTGTGTAAAAACATTTATAAAATTTAAGATTAAAAATGTTTTTGAAAAGATAAATAATTTTTTGTAAACAGAAAAAAATGAATAAAAAGAAAAGTACCGAAGGTGGAAGAGAATGTAACAAATCCTACCTCTGAACGTTAGTACCTCTTTTCTGATTAAAAAAAGAAAAACACTACCTCTGAACAGAGAAGGACCGAAAGTGGAAGATGAGGGGTATATGTATCTGGTAAAAAAACAAAAACATATCCTCATATCCATTGGCAACCATCTAACACTCTCCAAATTTTTTCCAAAAACAAATTTAAAATGCTTCTCTCCAAACCATAGTTTTGGGGCCAAAATCATGGTTTTGACCCCAAACCATGATTTCTAATTTTTTATAGGGGTTTGGGAAACTTTTTGGCCCAAACCATGGTTTGGCATGATATCCAAAATATTGTTGGTCAGCCAAAACGTTCAGACTATTATAGATACATTATTTACTTTTCAGGCTTTCAAATTAAAATTTGATTGATGCATATGACCATATATAAATCTCCCTGCCGCACTGCATATTGAAATATAGTGATGCATAATTGCATATGTCACGTGCTTTATATATAAATAATATTATAATTTCTTATAGATTTTTATTGATATCTATGATGTTGTCATAAAGTGAAGTGATATTTTTGGGAAAAAAAATCTATTTATTTAACTTGTAGAAACCCAGGCGCGGATGCCGGTGAGTTGGGTGCATGCAAGGGTTATGAATAATATCATGGAAGATTGTCACTTTACTAGAGGAGAACTTTCTCTTTCTCTCTCTCTTTCTCTTCCTCCACTGTCAGATTGTCAAATATTGCACACTATCTTCGACATTTAATATAAGATCTTGTTTACTTTTTATTTTAATCCTAAATATAAAATTCTAATTTACTTTGTGTATCACATTTATGTATTTTTTTCTTAAGATAGTCCTTCTAATAATAGTAGTTCTAACAAATACACCTGATTAATAAGAATATTTTAGAAATTATTACAAATAACTAACTTAATTTTTTTTAATCTTTTGAAATTAATTAACTAATTTTTATATTTAAGATTGGAGATAGCATTTTTTTTTTATACGAAAGAGGGCAAAGCCCAGAAAACTACATTAGATTACTCATGAGGGGATTAAATCCCATACATTCAGTAGCAACTAAAGTGCTTAGATGAGGGGGACAAAAATGTAAAAAAGCAGACTTGTTTAGTCCTTCCTTCGCCAATAAATCCGCTACTCTGTTTCTCTCTCTAGGGATGTACTGCAAGATAACTTGCCAACTGAGTGCCAAAAGGTTTCTTATTCGCAACATTAAAAGATTGTCCATGATCACGTTGTTCTCGCCCTGTAAAGCTTGAATGAGATTATAAGCATCAGATTCCAATACTACTCTTTTAAAGCCCATACTCCAAGCTAATTCCAGGCCTTTGTAAATAGCCCATTGCTCGGCCTCCAACACTGAACAGGATCCTATGAAATGCTTAAAGCCAGCAAGCCAGGTACCATTGTGGTCCTGTAGAACACCTCCACAGCCGGCTCTCAAGGCTGTTGAAGACACGGCTCCATCCACATTTAATTTTATCCAATCCCTATCAGGTGGTTGCCAACACACTCTCTCCGTATAATCCTCTGCCATCTGGACATTATTTCTCCAACTATTCATAATTATGAAAGCTAGTTCTTCTGGTTTAGTAAAACCTGGGTTGAAGATGGTCTCATTTTGCCATTTCCAAAGTCTCCAAATCGTGACTCCCCAGATTAAATCCCAAGAGCCATCCGCTGTTGATCCTAGATCCCTTTTCAGATTAAGTGCAAACCAATCCTTCAAGGGTGCCGAGAAGAAGGAGGAGTAATGCATAGGATTAAGAATTTGTTCCCACAGGCTTTGAGCAAAGATACAGTCACGCAATATATGTAGGGTGTCCTCACGGCTCTGATTGCAATGGTCACAAATAGGAGAGGAAGCTGTCCATGTACTTCTCCATGCCTTTGTGGGTAACCAATCATGATAAGCAATCCACATAAAGACTCATAGGGGGTGTTTGGGTGATTGCCCAAACCATGGTTTGGGAAAAAATTACCCAAACACCCATCAATTTTTTGAAACCATGGTTTTATGATAAAACCATGGTTTGCTTATCAAACCAAGGTTTTGTAATAAGCAAAAAAATTTTGCTTTTTGAGTGGTTCTCCCCCCACCCCTACACTTTTTTTTTGGTTGAAAACAATTATTTATTTTTCTAAAAACATAATCTTATATTTTACGATTATATATACACATATTAACAATTACTACATCCTGTCTTTAATATAAGACCTCATTTGATTTTTATTTGGTCCTAAATATAAAACCCTAATCTATTTTATTTCTCATATTTGTCTATCGTTTTTCAAGTTATAACCAATAAACTTGATTAATAGGGATATTGTAGGAAAGGCAATACCTATTTATTACAAATAACTAGCTTAACTTATTTTTTTAATATACTCAAATTAGTCAACTAACTCTTACATTTAGAATTGGATATAGTAATTAATATATGTTTTTATACATTATTTATTATGTTGGAAAAAAAATTAATAAATTTATTATTCCGGTCTTTAATGTAGGACCTAATTGGAGAGTTAATATTGGTCTTAAATGTAAGATTATTATTCCGGTCATTAATGTAAAATCTAATTGGAGAGTTAATATGTAGACAAGGTCTTAATACCTTCATTAATAGAATCTTCATCTCACATGGCTTGGCTTCGTGACTCCATAAGAGATCAAATTGTTCACTATATACAAGAATAGTCATGTCCTTTTTATTTTCTTTTTTCTTTTCAGATAATGTAATGTGTTGTTAAAAAAACTACTTGAACAAATATATTTCATTGTAACCTCTATTATTAAGACAATTAATATGAAATTTTTTTGTGTGGTTATTTAATTTTGTGAAACAAAAATTATGGGTTTTTATCTTTAAAATTTTTAAGAAATAATAATATTTTTTTGGCAAAATAAATCATTTTCCTAAAAACATATTTAATTATTTTATTAATATATATACACATTAATTTTTTATTTTTTTATTATTTATGTCTTATTTATTATGTTGCCAAAATATATATTATTAATAAATTTATTACTT